CCAAATTTCTAACATATTTAATCATATACTTTAATTTATACTTTTGAAATGCTTTTTCCCTCGCTATTGGAAAGTGGTTGATTTTATGACGGACTCCGAAGCCTCTTCTGATTTGCCTCCAGAAGACGAAGACACTCCTGGCCAGCGGCAACGAAAGTCTAACAGACTCATGGAACTGCAGCAGACTCTAATAAAGGAAATTGGAAAGTCATCTCTCCCAGCTTTGTCGACTTCCACATCGAAATCAAAAGCAGCAATGAGGTCTCGTGGTAAGAAATCTCATCGGCGCCGATGAGAAGTCAATGAGAGATTTGCTCACTTGGAGTCACGATTATTTGCAACCGGTGCTAATTACAACAAAGTCAACGTATCAAAATTTTCAAAGGCTTTTAGTTAAAGATCCTAGAGTTACAACATGAAGTTAAAAATATTTATTTAAATTATACGATAGAAGCATACATCCATATCTTTTGAATTTATTCGTTCATTAATTGTTCAATTAACCAATTTTGATAGTAATTTTCTTTAGTACTTTTAAATATTTTTTGATTAAACAATAATATTGTTAATGGTAAAAATAGGAATGATATAGGGAGAATTTAAAAAATACCCCTTTAAAAATACCACTTTTTAAATTTACACCCTTTTCAAACTTTATCAAAACAACCACTAAAAATGTTGAAATTTATCCAAATATGTGTGTAAACTTATAAATATACACAAAAATTACCTTTATTTGTGTATAAAATTATATTTATTTCAATGTCTTACAAATTGGTTTGAATATAACAAAACATTATTTTGTTACAATAATTACATACTTTGAAAATAAAATAAATATACATGAATATGTGAGAAAGAAAAAAACATATAAAGTAAAACAATGAAAATGTTTTATTTAGCTTGATTTTCTTATGGTGCGATGGTCAGAAATCAATATTTTTGAATCCCATCGATAAAGTAATTTCCTTATATCCATAAAATATTATTATACATATGTATTATACATTTAATAGTATAAAAACAATGAAAAAATGAAGAAGTACATTAAATAAAGAAGAAATATAATTGAAAACAAAAGTTTTAACCAAATATATAATCAAGCTCTTACAATGATATCTTAATTGAGCTTTCAACCCATGCAAGAACATTAAAATTAAACAAAGAAAATAT